GCAAATGCAGTTGAAAAACAGTGGGCTTGCTTTTAAGTAGGGGTGAGGAAATAGCGATTGGGTTAGAATTATTCTAATTTATTTAATTTCCAAAGTGAACATTATTATTATGTTTGTTTTTATCTATCTGTGTGCTCACTATGTTAATCTGAATATGCGTATAAATGTATACGCACATGCGCATAAATATAGTATCTATTATGTGTATATGTGTATTACATATGCATTTTGCCTGTATTTGAATATGTATGAGCAGGTGCATACTATATCTATATATCTATATATCAATATATATATGTAAATGTACACACATGCACCACACAAATATACACACATACAACGCACCACACAGATATACACACATACAACACACCACACGAACAAATTTCTTTTACTTCTACAATAGTGAAACTCGTGCACTCTCGAAGCGCGACTTGACGTCCCTTTGGTTCTGGCGTACATAATGTGATTGGTCCAGGGAATATTTGCATGCAGCGAAGGTTCTATAGGTTCCCGCATTGACTTTTAATCCTGATCCTGTTTTTTTTCAGCACCCCTGTCTTTTTTCGCAGCATGGGTCTCACTCCGTTTGTGCAAAACACATGTGACGCTGGTTTGGTGCTGATGCCATTCCTGAAAGGCATGTGCCCACATGTGCTGGAATGACACCAACTCTTAGACTTTTTTTTTTAGTGGGGCGCAGGCCCATGTGTGTTTATTATTTCTCTACGGGGCTTCTGGTGTGACCAGCATTTGGAATGTTTTGTGTATTTATCCCAGGGTGACATTTTTTTTAAATATGTGAAGCAGTTTGGTATCCGGCATTGGAGATAAAGTGCATACTTGTGTTAGGGACTCCCCTGTCCGGTCGGAGACAGGCGCAGGCCCCTGGATCCGATACTGTACACTAATGCTCAGACTCCAGGGCAGAGGTGTTGACCAGTCACCAAATATACCCCTTCCTTGCTGTGTATTGACCATACTCGCCGAGTGTAAGGGTGCCTATGAGAAATCATGGGGCCACTCGACCGTAACTCGTGTGGATTGGAAATTTATTAAGCTGCACATAGTGCTAAAAATATCCTTCATGATGGCAGCTTTACAAAAGCCATCTATGAATATTATCATCAATGAAGTGCACCTCTCCAGCAGCAACTTGTGCATAGCTGCACATACATTGAAGGGAACATAGCGTTATGCCAGGAAGTAACATATGGCATGCAGGACTGTGCCCAGAAGGTCCCATTGTGAACCAATACCAGGGTGGAATTCTGCTTTAAAATATTTATGTCCATTTATGTAGTCTACACAATAATATGTAGAAGATGAAATATGTATAACGCAGACAATTATTTACCATTCACTTATTTAAAAACAAATTCTGGCTCATTTATATCTATATCTATCTATCATATATATGGGCTATGATTTGCTGACATTCTATGATCACAATAACATTCATTTAAGACTCTTTATGAAGTTCTGTGTGCAGACCACCTATACCTGTCTATGGTACATTTATAGAAACAGTACATGTTGGTAGAAGAAAAAAAATGTATGTGTGGTATTTTTTTTTGAGTCGACGTGGACTCGTGTAAGTGCTTCGGTAACATGAGGAAGTACAAGGTCCAAAACTTAAGTTAACTTAAGTTAAAAAAAAAAAAAGAAACGTTTAAAATGGTCTTTGGGTTTACATAACGAGAGACTAAAACTATATCCGCACTGCAAATATTTATGAATAAATCACAGCCGACAGTTTGTGCTCAACACGGAAAAATAGAAGCAATAGGATTTGAAGGATTGCGCTTTGTCGAATGTGTTTGTCGTTATTCAGTCGTGTACAATACCGCACTAAGTTCCTTAACAGAAAAGCATGGCCAGCTATAAACTCAGATATCAAATATTAAAAAAAATACAAGTTTAGGTTCTATTGTACCTTTACACCCAAACATTGTGATTTTAATTTCACATATGTGTCAGCTATTATAAATTTATTTTATTTAGAATTTGGCATAGAGGGAAATAAGTCTTCGGAACAGATCTTGTGCAGGAGATTGTTTAACCGAAGCGTAATAATACATGGGAAGTAAAATAATGATCTCCTGGAATACATAGGAAGTAAAAAAGTAACATATTTGTGTGATGATTAGAAAGTTCAGATATATATTATGGGGGGGCTATTGCTCTTAGGGTCTCCAAAGACGTAAGAGAGGGGATATATAGAATACTGTATAGTGGACATTCATGGAGAGGTTATATGGAGTAATAAGATGGTTTATAGAAGATATTATATGGTGGTTTATTGAACATATTATATGGTGTAATAGGAAAAGTTATAGGCTAGGGTTATACAGATTTATAGGAAGGCCCATTGAAGATGTTATATGGAGGAATAAGAAGTTGTGTTGAGTTACAAAAGGACTTATAGGCACCCCTATATAGAATAACAAGATGAAATATTAGGATGAGTTTTTGTAATAATAGGTGAAGCTATAATATACATTATATGGTTATTATTACTCACAATAGGGACCAAAAGAAGGAGCTACAGGGAGAGTCTATAGCTATAACACTGTCCTCTAACTAATGTGATAACACTATCAATGACCAACATATCCAATGATATAACTTCTTTACAAGTTGGCCTTTTGGTACCACAGCAAATATTATCTGTGCATTGCAATCCTATAAAGCATCTGGGGCGATGTCTGCTACCCAGACTGGCAGCATCGCAGTCTTGATGCTTCTCAATTGTGGTAGAGCCACAAGAAAGCCTTCTAGATGAGCCACAAGAATAACTACTGGGCGCACTACATCGCTGAAGTGTGTTATGAATCAGTGAACCAGTACCCAGGCACATATAATGCTATTCAGCGGATACCTCCCTTTGGTGTGGAGTTCGGTGCTCATTGGTTCTCTATCAGATCAAAAATAAATTTATCTTACATAATCAAGAAACCACTACCAGGTAAACTCCTAAACTGTAAGGTTTTCACCAACTACCCTCCACCTTTCTCTCTATTGTTCGTATAATCATTAGTGTGATGCCGTTGTCTGTGCCTGCAGCACAACGGATAAACACTTTTTTGGTAGTCAAATCATTTTGATAATCAGTTTTCTATAGGTGAATCGTTATTTACAAGCGATGTAAATGACTGGTCTAAAATAATGTTGGAAAAATCTCAAGCATCAAAGAAAAGGGAACACAACCCTTCGTGCCATATTCATAACATTGGCTAAGTTAGAAAGGACAATTGTGCAGGATTTAGTCCTTGCAGTCACTTGCAATAGATTTTTTTGGGGGCCAATTAAAAGAAAAGTTGATTAAGTAAAAAAAATCCTTAGCATTTCTATAAGGTTTTAAAGTGTGGGATAAATTAAATAATTATTAGTTTGTCCATTTTAATCCAATCAGTTGTATGGCAATCAAATACGATTGTATTAGCATTGTTAGTCATTCATACTTTTTCCCTTGATTTTTCAACCAATAATATTATCAACTCAAGTCAGTGCATCCATCATGACCTTGGTCTTCAAGCTACTATATAACACCTATGATTGTTCCAATAGTTCTACAGTCCACCAAGCTCCTAGATTGTTGGCCAAATATTTTTTCTCCTTTAGCAAAAGCTGATCCAGTTCCAAAAAGGCAAAATTTGCTTATTTTCCTAAGAGCACATCATTTTGGCCAACGTAGATAATACCCTTCAGGCCAGCTCGTAAAATGAATGCTGAACCCTTTTTTTTTAAATGAACAACTAACAAATGTAAATGACAAGATACAAGAATGGTGAAAAGAAGATAGAAGAAGAGACCAAGTTGAGAGTTAGAAAAGGAAAAGAAGAAGTACATGAAGTGAAGAGAAAATCTTGAGCTTTGAGACCGCAGTGATTCTCAAACACATTTAAGGGAACATTTTGCTTTCATAAACTATCTAAATTACAAAATAATGATTACACAATCTGTTTTTGCTTAAATTTTATTCAAAATTACTTTTTTTTTTAAATCTGATTTTCTAAAATTACCAAAAAATTTCAATATTGCTTCCATTTTACCATGCTGATAATGGGGGCATGAAATACTCTATTTTGTGTAAAGAATGCTCTAGAAATATTTCTGCTCATGTGACATCGCTTTCCACTGAGGCTGATCGTCTCATTACAAGCAGACCTTCTAATTTAGCACTTAGGAAGTAGAAAGTGACTGGAATGCATGTGTCAGTTTTTGAAAAAGAGCAGCAGATAAAACTGTAAATTGAATGTTAAATAAATAAAATCCTAACAATGTATATAATAAACCTGGAGAGTATTTTAAAAATCAAATTAGAGATATTTATTAGAAAAGAGGATACTGGAGAGGTGGGAAGGGAAGACCAGGGAAGTGGAAATAAAATAAAAGGAAGATTCAGGTGATGGACAAAAGAAAATAGAATGCAGAAGATGAAAGAGTAAAAATGGAAGACTAAAAACAAGACAAGTGAAAATGAAATTATATGATTGAAAAAGAAGACCTAAGAATGGACTAATGGAAAGACTAGGGACTTGGAAAAGAAAGGGGACCAGGAGCTGGATAGAGGAGGACTTCCACCAGGTGAAAAAGAAGAGACATGGAAAATGGAAAGAACGGGAGATCAGGATATAAAAAGTGGAAAGGGAGAAGGGCATGAAAGGTACCAAAAAGGAAAAGGCGGAAAAAGCAGAAATTAGACAATGAGTTCTATGAACATTTTCCACTCATGTAAAAAAAAATTATATATATATATATATATATATAGCAAAGTAGAGATGGCAACAAAAAGGGTGATAATATTGTTCTAGATATTGTGTCATTTCATGGTATATTTTTTGTTAGCTACATGAGCC